CATACGAAAATAATATTAATAGAAAAGAATGAGTAATCAGTTGTCTAAGTTATTAGAACACTGCTCACTACACTGAGCAGTATGGCTTCATGTAACTAACTGTGCTTTAGTAAATCAATGCAAAAGAGAATGTGTCTATGTACAGGCGACGAGTCACAATAACGTGGCTGAAGTATGTTGACCAGACCACACACAAGAAGGTGAAGGGACGACGACGCTTCGGTCCGTCCTGAACCTTCTAAAGTCGATTGTGAGAATGGTCAATCGACTTGAGAATGGTCCAAGACGGACCGAAACGTCGTCGTCCCTTCACCATCTAGTGTGTGGTCTGGTCAACAATGAGTCTATGTCTCTGTCCAAGATTGAGAGCAGACCATTGGAGCTAGCCTCGGTAAACATGGCAAGGTATCTGGCGGTCATAATGGGTCAGTCAACCCTTTTGCCACTCTACATGAAGGCAGTGTAGATAAAATGTTCGGCGTTGAGTCCATAGACACATTGGGTTTTATATATATATATTTATTTGTTTATTTTAATACATTAGGTACATGTGTATTTATGCGTCTACCCTAGACTATATGAAGGGGAATACAGTGTCACAAAGCTAGCTATGGGGATTTTTAAGCATCACGTAGCTAGCTTTTTAACCCTGTATTCCACTTGTCTAGGGTAGCTGCACAAATGCAGATGTACCTAATGTATTAAAAAAAAAAAAATGTAATTCTTGCTTTCAATCAGTATGAGGTTAAACAATTGGCTGATCTCTGTACAAAGATACCCAGCTGCACACCACTACACTAAATAACATAAGTGGAGGAATAATTTTCTGTGATTCAACGTCTGCTCTACAAAGACTTGAAAACTTTTTGCAAGATTGAGAGTAAAAGCCTTATATTAGCAACTATATATAACCTGCTCGCTGCATGGAATAAAGGGTTCAGAATCTCTTGTACGATATCTTTCACAAATATAACGCATCATGATGTCACATACATAGCAACCAAATTGGCATGAAGCGAGACCGTCGCTGTACCGTCCAAGCCAAGAGGTTTAGGGGCCGGGGTGGGGTGGGGTGGGGTGGGGTGGGGGTGGGGTGGGGGGGGTGGGGGTGGGGGGTAGTATCAGGGGAATACGCCAAGCCATTACGACTATATAGCACTTGGAAGGGGACAGGATAAGATTATGTGATGGGACGGGGGGGGGGGGGGAAGGAATGGTGCCCAATCACTTTGACGGTCGGGGATTGAACACCGACCTGAACGAAGCGAGACCGTTGCTCTACCGTCCAGACCAAGTAGTTGAGATAGACGGGGGAGGGGGGGGGGGAGTTAAAAGTAATAATTCTTGACCTTATAGTTGTGTACACTGGAAGGTGGAGTGCTCACCCCAACATTGTTCAATATTTTGATACACAAACTGATAATTGATACACCCTCACTCGCTGACGACGCTCTCATCTGTTATGCTGATGACACTTCCAATTGTTGCAAATATCCAAACACCATTGCAAGACCTAGTTTATTCTCTTGTTGCTAAAGAGCTTTGAGTGTTATTATCTCTAATAAAATCCAGACCGCTTCATCCCCACAAAAGCACAAATGACCTATTTTTTAAAGTCATTAACCAAAACATTGAATGAACAAATCCACAAGGGCCGTGACGAGGATTCGAACCTGTGTCCGAGAGCATCCCAGACGCTGCCTTAATCGACTGAGCTACGACATGGAAAAAGGAGTTGAAACCAAAGTTCTACTTCTCTTCGGTTTCTCGAAGTAGAACTTCGGTTTCAACTCCTTTTCCATGTCGGGAGGGAGCCGGTCGGCCGAGCTGACAGCACGCGGGACTTGTGATCCTGTGGTCCTGGGTTCGACCCCAGGCGCCGGCGAGAAACAATGGGCAGAGTTTCTTTCACCCTATGCCCCTGTTACCTAGCAGTAAAATAGGTACCTGGGTGTTAGTCAGCTGTCACAGGCTGCTTCCTGGGGGTGGAGGCCTGGTCGAGAACCGGGCCGCGGGGACACTAAAAGCCCCGAAATCATCTCAAGATAACCTCAAGATGTCGTAGCTCAGTCGATTAAGGCAGCGTCTGGGATGCTCTCGGACGCAGGTTCAAATCCTCGTCACGGCCCTTGTGGATTTTGTTCATATGATGCATCACGTAATTGTGATTTGTGTGTGTAGCAAAACATTGAATGCTGTGGTCAGTACAAATACCTTATAGTGGGCATCAACAGTGACACTAGTAAGGACCCACATTATAGGTTACGGGAAAGACTTAAACCCCAGAAATCACTTCCTGGTAAGAATATTGTTCGACTATTATACATGATTTTCAGATCCCAGTTGGTTATCATGCCTTGCACCTACTTAATTTCTCCACATATGTTTTCTCCATCCACTTGAGCTGGACAGTAGAGCGACGGTCTCGCTTCATGCAGGTCGGCGTTCATTCCCCGACCGTCCAAGTGGTTAGGCACCATTCCTTCTCCCCGTCCCATCCCAGATCCTTATCCTGACCCCTTCCCAGTGCTATACAGTCGTAATGGCTTGGCGCTTTACCCTGATAGTTCCGTTCCGTTCCACACGGACACTCATGTTAATGGAGGAATGGTCTTTAATTAAGGGCTTGCTGAAAGAAGGGGTTAAAGGGGTTAATGGTCTTTAATTAACGTGGTTAGTAAGGAGTGGATTGTTAGAGGCTAATGAGGAGAGGGTTGTTAAGGGGCTATTGAAGGGGGGCGGGGGCTTGTTAACTGGTTAGTTATAAGGGGAGGGTTAATGGGTAATAGTCTATAAGATACAATACAATGCATATTATAGTAACACATTCTAATACGTATTGAATCCTAAACACTAGTCAAATATTTTGACAAGAACACGCAAGAGTTGGTGTTGAGACACAGTGTAGTGCTGACAGTGTACTGGGGGGGGGGGGGGGGGGGTAGTGTAGTGCTGACAGTGTACTGGGGGGGGTAGTGTAGTGCTGACAGTGTACTGGGGGGGGGGTAGTGTAGTGCTGACAGTGTACTGGGGGGGGGGGGGGGGGCAGTGTAGTGCTGACAGTGTACTGGGGGGGGGGAGGGGGGGTAGTGTAGTGTTAAGGGTGTACTGGGAGGTGTAATGTAGTGCCGAGGAGACTGAGCAAGATGTACTCCTTGTATGATTTCCATTTTCTTGAGTTTTATCAAGTAGAGGTCGAAGGTCAACCCATCCTCTCACTCTAGTACGTCGCACTGCATGGCCCAATCCACCAATTCGCTCACAAATGCGACGTTTTAGTAAAAATTAAAGCATCATAGTATGAACGTTGACTCAGTGTTGAAAGAACGTTAATTCAGCGTTGAATGAACGTTAATTCAGCGTTGAATGAACGTTAATTCAGCGTTGAATGAACGTTAATTCGGCGTTGAATGAACGTTAATTCAGCGAGTGAGGTCAGGATATATACACGCTAGTTCTGGTCTCTTCAGTGTTGGATCTTGCAAGCATAACAGCTTTAGTGACGTAAGAACAGTTGGTCTTTGGAAGAGAACATGGATACGTCAGCCAGGTCTGGCTGACCTATACATGTTCATACATCAGTACACATGTATATGAATACGAATATTCATTCATTTATACTGACTGGGGATCTCAGAGGGACTTGGTTTGTTTACATACAGTATCAACTTCAGATTCTCGTGCCTGACTCCCTCGAACCTCCACCCAGAAGTCGCCATGGCCAAGAACCTCTACCAAACCGCAGGGAGAAAGGCTAACAACTATTCAGATATACAAAGTTGATAGCTGTGCCGGGTATATATATATATATATATATATATATATATATATATATAGGGAAGGGAAGGGAAGGGAAGGGAACTATCAGGGGGGAAAGCGCCAAGCCACTACGACTATATAGCACTGGGAAGGGGTCAGGATAAGGGTTTGGGATGGAACGGGGGGGGGAAGGAATGGTGCCCAACTACTTGTGGTCGGGGATTGAACGCCGACCTGCACGAAGCGAGACCGTCGGTCTACCGTCCAGTCCAAGTGACTGGACATATAGGAGGGAAGAGGGAGGGGTTCGGTTTGGGGAAATGTATGCCTAATACATTTCATTTCAGTAAGATTATATTATAAAATAAACAATTATTTGTATTATGTTATATAAAATTGTATTATATATTTTATAAAATTATTTTTATATAACAAAATCCTCAGGGACAATGGGGATTGTCTTCTTTTAGCATTTTTTTACTCTTTTTTGATGAGGATTTTGACAAGCCGCCGTCGAGACCACTACAAGATGGTGGCCATGATTTAAATTGGGGTAAATATACTCTACGGATGACCAGACCACACACTAGAAATTGAAGAGACGACGACGTTTCGGTCCGTCCTGGACCATTCTCAAGTCGATTGTCCGAAACGTCGTCGTCTCTTCAATTTCTAGTGTGTGGTCTGGTCATCATACTTCAGCCACGTTATTGTGACTCATCGCCTGTATACTCTACGGAGTTTTATTAACTTATTTGGCGCTGTTGAATCAACCAGAATTTAGCTGCTAGAAAAAAGGTCGTCAATCCAGGGTTATCTTGAGATGATTTCGTGGCTTTAGTGTCCCCGCGGCCCGGTCCTCGACCAGGCCTCCACCCCCAGGAAGCAGCCCGTGACTGCTGACTAACACCCAGGTAACTATTTTACTGCTAGGTAACAGGGGCATAGGGTGAAAGAAACTAGGGTGGTCAGAACTCGGAGTTGTGGACTCCAAGTTGACTGCAGGTCCAGTTAGCCTGCGGCTGGTCACTCCCTTCCCTGTAGCCAGTAATTCCTTCCGCTCACCCGGGCAGTGATTAATCATGTTAATAGCGGGTTAATGCAGGGACCATCTCCCCTATACACATGATAAAGGCCCGCACGGAGATATTGATCAATACATCAAGATTTATTGATCAATACACCGGGATTTATTGACAAATACACCGGGATTTATTGATCAATACACCGGGATTTATTGATCAATACACCAGCTGGAGGTGTGGAAGGGTTCCGGGGGCCCCGCTGGAGGTGTGGAAGGGTTCCGGGGGCCCCGCTGGAGGTGTGGAAGGGTTCCGGGGGCCCGCTGCAGGTGTGGAAGGGTTCCGGGGGCCCCGCTGGAGGTGTGGAAGGGTTCCGGGGGCCCCGCTGGAGGTGTGGAAGGGTTCCGGGGGCCCCGCTGGAGGTGTGGAAGGGTTCCGGGGGCCCCGCTGGAGGTGTGGAAGGGTTCCGGGGGCCCCGCTGGAGGTGTGGAAGGGTTCCGGGGGCCCCGCTGGAGGTGTGGAAGGGTTCCGGGGGCCCCGCTGGACGTGTGGAAGGGTTCCGGGGGCCCCGCTGGAGGTGTGGAAGGGTTCCGGGGGCCCCGCTGGAGGTGTGGAAGGGTTCCGGGGGCCCCGCTGGACGTGTGGAAGGGTTCCGGAGCCCCGCTGGAGGTGTGGAAGGGTTCCGGGGGCCCCGCTGGAGGTGTGGAAGGGTTCCGGGGCCCCGCTGGACGTGTGGAAGGGTTCCGGAGCCCCGCTGGAGGTGTGGAAGGGTTCCGGGGGCCCCGCTGGAGGTGTGGAAGGGTTCCGGAGCCCCGCTGGAGGTGTGGAAGGGTTCCGGAGCCCCGCTGGAGGTGTGGAAGGGTTCCGGAGCCCCGCTGGAGGTGTGGAAGGGTTCCGGAGCCCCGCTGGAGGTGTGGAAGGGTTCCGGAGCCCCGCTGGAGGTGTGGAAGGGTTCCGGAGCCCCGCTGGAGGTGTGGAAGGGTTCCGGAGCCCCGCTGGAGGTGTGGGGAAGTGCCAAGATGATGTGGATAGCATCGTGCTTCACGGTTGTGGGGTGGGGGGGGGGGTGTTTGTGGCAGAGGGGGGAGGCTTTAGTGGGTGATTGGGGGTATTGGGGGATGTGTTGGGGGGATGTGTTGGTGTGTGTGGGGGGGGGGCATGGTGGGGGGTGTGTGTGGGGGGGGGGCATGGTGGGGGTGTGTGGGGGGGGGCATGGTGGGGGTGTGGGGGGGCAAGTGAGTGGAAGAGAGAGTGCGTGATAGATCAGGCACCGCCCATCACCGCCCCAGGCACCATATGTTGGTTACTTGCAACCTTTGCCTTCTTAACACCCCCCCCCCCACCCCACCCCCCCCTCTCACCTTCTACTTCCCTCCCTCTCTCCCTCCATCTACATCCTTCTCTCTCAGTTTTCCCGCCATCGTCGTGTCAGCTGATTGTCAGCCTCCTCCTTCTATCGTTTCTTCTGTGTTCCTTCATCTCCCTCTGTTTTTCTTGCAGTGTTTACGTCTCTCAGACCTAGTTGTGTTCGGGGATGTGTGTGTATGCATGCATGCATGCATGTATGTATGTATGTATGTATGTATGTATGTATGTATGTATGTATGTATGATGTACGAATAATACTGACTATGAGCGAAAGAATTAGGTTGATTCTGGCACAGATCATCTAAACATCTTAAAATTCCTCACTTGTGTAAGGAACACAGTGTTCCTTACACAAGTTCCTTACACAATGTTAGTTGATGGGACATTTCTAACGATGGGCTGAACGAATGTAGCCGACTTGTATACGGGCGGTCGGGGATGTCACTGGATTCTCAACACTTCTGACGACGACATTTTCATGTGTTGATCAGACTGGCTATCGAGCCTCAACCCCTATTCTAATCGCCGCACATCACTCCGCACCTTGCTGTATCTCCACCGGTTTCCCAGGATTCTCGGCCGTCCATACCACACGCTATATAAACGAGCCGCCATCTTTGTAGTCGGTGATTCCTAATAGGTACAGAGTAAATAGGGTAAATAGGTACCTGGGAGTTAGTCAGCTGTCACGGGCTGCTTCCTGGTGTGTGTGTGTGTGTGTGTGTGTGTGTGTGTGTGTGTGTGTGTGTGTGTGTGTGTGTGTGTGTGTGTGTGTGTGTGTGTGTGTGTGTGCGCGCGCGCGCGCGGTGAAAAAAAAGTGGTTAGTAAACAGTTGATTGACAGTTGAGAGGCGGGCCGAAAGAACAAAGCTCAACCCCCGTAATCACAACTAGGTGAATACAACTAGGTGAATACACAAGGTAGCGAAGCAATTGAGTACAAGAACATGGAGAAACTACAGGAATAACAGAACACCAGAGAGCAGGGAGAGATACCAGAGGAATGAGTACCTCAGAGTGAGGAGAGAAGCAGAGAGTCAGTATGAAAATGACATCCCAAGTAAAGCCAAGACCCAACCAAAACTGCTCCAGAGCCACATCAGGAGGAAAACAACAATGAAGGAACAAGTAATGAAACAGAGAAAAGGAGAGACACACAGAGAATGACAAGGAGGTGTGTGAATAACTCAACAAGAGATCCAGGAGGTCTTAACAATAGAGCAAGGAGAAGCCCCTATACTAAGAGAGGAGGCGGTAGACCAAGACACTTTTGATGAATTTGAACTTACCAGTAACGAAGTCAAAAGGAATCTGTTGGAGCTGAATGTAACAAAGACTGTTGGGCCTGACAGAATCTCACCATGGATACTAAAAGAAGGAGCAGAAGCACTAAGTGTGCCACACTCTCTATGGTGTATAACAGATCACTGGAAACAGGAGACCTACCAGAAAGCTGGAAGACAGCTAATGTAGTCCCAATTTACAAAAAAAGAGTGACAGGCAAGAGCCACTGAACTACAGTCCAGTTTCCCTAACTTGTATACCATGCAAAATGCCCTAAACCCACCCTTAAGTGGTGGGTTTAGGGCACTGGGCTGGCGAGGAAGCCCTTAAGTGGTGGGTTTAGGGCACTGGGCTGGCGAGGAAGCCCTTAAGTGGTGGGTTTAGGGCACTGGGCTGGCGAGGAAGCCCTTAAGTGGTGGGTTTAGGGCACTGGGCTGGCGAGGAAGCCCTTAAGTGGTGGGTTTAGGGCACTGGGCTGGCGAGGAAGCCTTAAGTGGTGGGTTTAGGGCACTGGGCTGGCGAGGAAGCCCTTAAGTGGTGGGTTTAGGGCACTGGGCTGGCGAGGAAGCCCTTAAGTGGTGGGTTTAGGGCACTGGGCTGGCGAGGAAGCCCTTAAGTGGTGGGCTAGAGCGCTCGGCTGGTAGGGAAGCCCTTAGTGGGGCAGCTCTACAAGGAAGGCCAAGTTAGCATACACCATTTTTCATATGATGAGTGAGTGGATCACGATCGGCTTACCACGATATTATTCACCCGGGAGTTTTATACAGGTGAAGAGAGTTTATTGCAGCTTCGGGTTTCATGGGGGGGGGGGGCTGTGGAGGGGTGCGTGAAGGGGGCTGTGTGGGGGTGGAGAGGGGGGGCATTTAGAGTGCTCGTGCACACGTGCTTGCACACACGTGCTGGGAGGCTTCGCCGCTGGCCACCACATGTCAGGGTTAGTCGAATTATGTAATGAATACGATATTGCCTGTGTGGGCTGGTGTACGGCAGGTGTGGGGCAGGTGTGGGCTGGTGTAGGGCAGGTATGGGCTGGTGTACGGCAGGTGTGGGCTGGTGTACGGCAGGTGTGGGCTGGTGTACGGCAGGTGTGGGCTGGTGTACGGCAGGTGTGGACTGGTGTACGGCAGGTGTGGACTGGTGTACGGCAGGTGTGGACTGGTGTACGGCAGGTGTGGACTGGTGTACGGCAGGTGTGGACTGGTGTACGGCAGGTGTGGACTGGTGTACGGCAGGTGTGGACTGGTGTACGGCAGGTGTGGACTGGTGTACGGCAGGTGTGGACTGGTGTACGGCAGGTGTGGACTGGTGTACGGCAGGTGTGGGCTGGTGTACGGCAGGTGTGGGCTGGTGTACGGCAGGTGTGGACTGGTGTACGGCAGGTGTGGACTGGTGTACGGCAGGAGTGGGCTGGTGTACGGCAGGTGTGGGCTGGTGTACGGCAGGTGTGGGCTGGTGTACGGCAGGTGTGGGCTGGTGTACGGCAGGTGTGGGCTGGTGTGGGTGAGGGGGGAGGGGAGGGGGAGCCGCTCACGGTAAACACAAAGCTGTGGTCGATGGCCATACATAGTCCCTCCTTAACGGCATCGATCTTGTACGGCTGGCTTGGCTGGTGGTTGGTCATTGGTACCGGGGGAGGTGGTACCTGTGGCCGTGGTACTGTCCGGTACCTGTGGCCGTGGTACTGTCCGGTACCTGTGGCCGTGGTACTCTCCGGTACCTGTGGCCGTGGTACTCTCCGGTACCTGTGGCCGTGGTACTCTCCGGGACCTGTGGCCGTGGTACTCTCCGGGACCTGTGGCCGTGGTACTGTCCGGTACCTGTGGCCGTGGTACTCTCCGGTACCTGTGGCCGTGGTACTCTCCGGTACCTGTGGCCGTGGTACTCTCCGGTACCTGTGGCCGTGGTACTGTCCGGTACCTGTGGCCGTGGTACTCTCCGGTACCTGTGGCCGTGGTACTGTCCGGGACCTGTGGCCGTGGTACTGTCCGGTACCTGTGGCCGTGGTACTGTCCGGGACCTGTGGCCGTGGTACTGTCCGGGACCTGTGGCCGTGGTACTGTCCGGGACCTGTGGCCGTGGTACTGTCCGGTACCTGTGGCCGTGGTACTCTCCGGGACCTGTGGCCGTGGTACTGTCCGGTACCTGTGGCCGTGGTACTGTCCGGTACCTGTGGCCGTGGTACTCTCCGGTACCTGTGGCCGTGGTACTGTCCGGGACCTGTGGCCGTGGTACTCTCCGGTACCTGTGGCCGTGGTACTGTCCGGGACCTGTGGCCGTGGTACTGTCCGGTACCTGTGGCCGTGGTACTGTCCGGTACCTGTGGCCGTGGTACTGTCCGGTACCTGTGGCCGTGGTACTGTCCGGTACCTGTGGCCGTGGTACTCTCCGGTACCTGTGGCCGTGGTACTCTCCGGGACCTGTGGCCGTGGTACTCTCCGGGACCTGTGGCCGTGGTACTCTCCGGGACCTGTGGCCGTGGTACTCTCCGGTACCTGTGGCCGTGGTACTGTCCGGTACCTGTGGCCGTGGTACTGTCCGGTACCTGTGGCCGTGGTACTCTCCGGTACCTGTGGCCGTGGTACTCTCCGGTACCTGTGGCCGTGGTACTCTCCGGTACCTGTGGCCGTGGTACCCCACAACACTACCCCCGCTATAGGTCCACCAGATTATGCAGTAATGTTAATAGCAATAACTCCTGCATGTGTTAGCAGTGCTCGGGGTTTATTGATTACCTGTTCAGGATTTCTAGAGTGTGCCTATCGCGGGCTGGCAGTGGCCAACACTTCCTGGTGGTTCCCTGGGGCTAGATTCACGAAAGCACTTAAGAACCTGTACATCTTTTCTCAATCTTTGGTGGCTTTGTTTACAATTATTAAACGGTTAATGAGCTCCGAAGCACCAGGAAACTGTTTATAAAAATAACAACAGTTGATTGGGAAGTTTTCATGCTTGTAAACTGTTTAATAATTGGAAACAAAGCAGCCAAAAACTGAGAAAAGATGTACAGGTTCGTAAGTGCTTTCGTGAATCTAGCCCCTGATCCGTAAGACTGTTTGGCCTTGCAGCCCAAACGCCCACAGAACCATCTCAGCCCGGCTGAGCCAATATCAACGTGTCCGTATCTTCTTTGAAGGATTCGGCTTCGATTTGTGGTACATTTGGTGGGAAGAGGTTGAAAAGCCGCGGGACTCTGGTGTTGATATTGTGTTCTTGTGGCAGTCAGACTTGTCTTTGGAAGAATGTTACACTCTCATTGTGTAAGTCTGTGAGCTGACTTTCCAGTCTTGTCCATGTATTACGAGATCTTTCTTAAGTCTCCATTTAAGAAGTGTAATTCGAGTTCCTTTGGGATTTGTCGGTAGTTTGTGTTGCATTGATTGTATG